ACGATTTTTTGAAAATAATGATGTCTTGTAATGTAAGACTTTACAAACAATTTTTTCACTCAAATATTAAAGTGAGTGGAAAGTTGAAATTTTGAGCACTTTTTCCTAATGATTCAATGTAGAAAATACCAAAAACTCGAAGCGATTGAGTTAATATTAATGGAGTTACGATTTTTTCAAAAACAAACACAGGTTGTATTGAAAGTCAGCTGATTTTCAGTATAGAGGTGACCTTGATTTCAACCTGTGATGCGTATGCGTTATGCAATACCGTGCCTTAAGTACCAAGAAAAAGTACTTAAGTAATAAAGTACAAGTTACTTTTTTTTATGCAAATCAAGTACCAGTACAAGTTAAAGTACAGAAGGAAGTACTTAGATTGACTTCATTTGCCCAAATTCAAGTACCTACAAGTATCAAACTCCACGAAAATCAGAGTCAAATGCAAGTAACCCAAACTTGCCTACTACAAATGACATTTGAATAGAAATACTTCAAAAAATAATTAAAGTAGTTGAGTGGCTTGTAGTGCCTAGTAGTACCTACTACACACACACACTAACATGAATAGACGATACTGGATTATATTTTGTTTTCCAAGTGAATCATAGGTACCTAGGTGCTCAAGTATTCAAAAATACCTACTTGACAAAATTGAAATTGCAAGCACCTATACCAAAGACCTATACCAATGTTTAGATTAGTACTCAAGCCAAATACTGAAGTATGAAGTATTTAAAATTGGTACTCAGAAGGTACAACAGCGCTGTAGTATACATATAAATACATGAAATAATCAATTAAACAATGAAATTGGCCCTATACAAGGATTTCATTTACCTACCTCGAGACCTACCTTTAAACAGTCGTGACGTTAGTTACCTCAAAATTCAAGGGGCAAACCACCTAGGAATTCTTTGCCAAAAATTTGGGGAATTTAGAGGAATTTGTGGGAAATATAGAGGAATTTGTGGGGAATTTGAAGGAACTCATCGGGGAATTTATAGGGAATTTGGAAGAATTTTTATGTGGAATTTATTAAAGAAATCCTCCCAAAATTACACTTCATGATTTACAAGTCCAAATTTAAAAAATTCAAAAAAATAATGAATACAGTTTTTGTAGGCTGATTTCCAAAATTTTTCATGTTACTGTTTTTCACTGGAAAAATTTGAAACTTTGAGAAAATGAGCTTCTCATCTTCCTCTTTACATGAATTAATTGAAAATACAGTCTTACACATTTAAAAGTTTTCCTGGAAAACTAGTGAAGGGAAAATTTTGAAACTTTTTGTATGTAAAGAGGAAGGTGAGAAGCTCATTCTCCTAGAATTTCAAATTTTTCCATTAGAAAATTCCAACATGAGGAATCTTGGAAATCAACCTACAATAACTAAATTAATTGAAAATACAGTCTTACACATTTCAAAGTTTTCCTGGAAAACTAGTGAAGGGAAAATTTTGAAACTTTTTGTATGTAAAGAGGAAGGTGAGAAGCTCATTTTCCTAGAATTTCAAATTTTTCCATTAGAAAATTCAAACATGAGGAATCTTGAAAATCAACCTACAATAATTAAATTAATTGAAAATACAGTCTTACACATTTCAAAGTTTTCCTGGAAAATTAGTGAAGGAAAAATTTTGAAACTTTTTGTATGTAAAAAGAAAGGTGAGAAGCTCATTTTCCTAGAATTTCAAATTTTTCCATTAGAAAATTCAAACATGAGGAATCTTGAAAATCAACCTACAATAACTGAATTAATTGAAAATACAGTATCACATATTTCAAAGTTTCACTGGAAAACTAGTGAAGGGAAAATTTTGAAACTTTTTGTATGTAAAGTGGAAGGTGAGAAGCTCATTTTCCTAGAATTTTAAATTTTTCCATTAGAAAATTCCAACATGAGGAATCTTAGAAATCAACCTGCAATAACTAAATTAATTGAAAGTACAGTCTTACACATTTCAAAGTTTTCCTGGAAAACTAGTGGAAGGGAAAATTTTGAAACTTTTTGTACGTAAAAAGGAAGGTGAGAAGCTCATTTTCCTAGAATTTCAAATTTTTCCATTAGAAAATTCCAACATGAGGAATCTTGAAAATCAACCTACAATAACTGAATTAATTGAAAATACAGTATCACATATTTCAAAGTTTCACTGGAAAACTAGTGAAGGGAAAATTTTGAAACTTTTTGTATGTAAAGTGGAAGGTGAGAAGCTCATTTTCCTAGAATTTTAAATTTTTCCATTAGAAAATTCCAACATGAGGAATCTTAGAAATCAACCTGCAATAACTAAATTAATTGAAAGTACAGTCTTACACATTTCAAAGTTTTCCTGGAAAACTAGTGGAAGGGAAAATTTTGAAACTTTTTGTACGTAAAAAGGAAGGTGAGAAGCTCATTTTCCTAGAATTTCAAATTTTTCCATTAGAAAATTCCAACATCTTGAAAATCAACCTACAATAACTGAATTAATTGAAAATACAGTATCACATATTCCAAAGTTTTCCTGGAAAACTAGTGCAGGGAAAATTTTGAAACTTTTTGTATGTAAAGAGGAAGATGAGAAGCTCATTTTCCCAAAATTTCAAATTTTTCCAGTAGAAAATTACAACATGGAGAATCTTGGAAATCAACCTACAATAACTGAATTAATTGAAAATACAGTCTGACATATTTCAAAGTTTTCCTGGAAAACTAGTGAAGGGAAAATTTTGAAACTTTTTGCATCTAAAGACGAAGGTGAGAAGCTCATTTTCCCAAAATTTCAAATTTTTCCATTAGAAAATTCCAACATGAGGAATCTTGAAAATCAACCTACAATAACTGAATTAATTGAAAATACAGTATCACATATTCCAAAGTTTTCCTGGAAAACTAGTAAAGGGAAAATTTCGAAACTTTTTGTATGTAAAGAGGAAGGTGAGAAGCTCATTTTCCTATAATTTCAAATTTTTCCATTAGAAAATTCCAATATCTTGGAAATCAACCTTCCAAAATTGAATTAGTTGAAAATAGAGTCTCACATATTTCAAAGTTTTCCTGGAAAACTAGTGGAGGGAAAATTTTGAAACTTTTTGTATGTAAAGAGGAAGGTGAGAAGCTCATTTTCCCAAAATTTCAAATTTTTCCAGTAGAAAATAACAACATGGAGAATCTTGGAAATCAACCTACAATAACTGAATTAATTGAAAATACAGTCTGACATATTTCAAAGTTTTCCTGGAAAACTAGTGAAGGGAAAATTTTGAAACTTTTTGCATCTAAAGACGAAGGTGAGAAGCTCATTTTCCCAAAATTTCAAATTTTTCCATTAGAAAATTCCAACATGAGGAATCTTGAAAATCAACCTACAATAACTGAATTAATTGAAAATACAGTATCACATATTCCAAAGTTTTCCTGGAAAACTAGTGAAGGGAAAATTTCGAAACTTTTTGTATGTAAAGAGGAAGGTGAGAAGCTCATTTTCCTATAATTTCAAATTTTTCCATTAGAAAATTCCAATATCTTGGAAATCAACCTTCCAAAATTGAATTAGTTGAAAATAGAGTCTCACATATTTCAAAGTTTTCCTGGAAAACTAGTGGAGGGAAAATTTTGAAACTTTTTGTATGTAAAGAGGAAGGTGAGAAGCTCATTTTCCCAAAATTTCAAATTTTTCCAGTAGAAAATTACAACATGGAGAATCTTGGAAATCAACCTACAATAACTGAATTAATTGAAAATACAGTCTGACATATTTCAAAGTTTTCCTGGAAAACCAGTGAAGGGAAAATTTTGAAACTTTTTGCATGTAAAGATGAAGGTGAGAAGCTCATTTTCCCAAAATTTCAAATTTTTCCAGTAGAAAATCACAACATGAGGAATCTTGGAAATCAACCTACAATACCTGAATTAATTGAAAATACAGTCTCATATATTTCCAAGTTTTCCTGGAAAACTAGTGAAGGGAAAATTTTGAAACTTTTTGTATGTAAAAAGGAAGGTGAGAAGCTCATTTTCCTAGAATTTCAAATTTTTCCATTAGAAAATTCCAACATGAGGAATCTTGGAAATCAACTTACAATAACTAAATTAATTGAAAATACAGTCTTACACATTTCAAAGTTTTCCTGGAAAACTAGTGAAGGGAAATTTTTGAAACTTCTTGTATGTTTATTGTAGGTTGATTTCCAAGATTCCTCGTGTTGGAATTTTCTAATGGAACAATTTAAAATTCTAGGAAAATGAGCTTCTCACCTTCCTCTCTACATGCAAAAAGTATCAAAATTTTCCCTTCACTAGTTTTCCAGGAAAACTTTGGAATGTGTGAGACTCTATTTTCAACTAATTCAGTTTTTGTATGTTGATTTCCAAGATTTTTCATGTTGCTGCTGTTTTCCGCTTGTAATTCGTGCGAATTTGAAGGAATTCGCAGGGAATATAGAGGAATTTGTTGGGTATATAGAGAAGTTCATGGTGGGGTAATTGGAGGAATTTGTGATGGGGTATCTGGA